CCCCAAAACCCCAAAACCCCAAAACCCCATAAGGTACTAATAATTTTAAGATTTACAAAATTAATAATTGTTTTTAATGAAATTAAGTTTTAGAATATCATTATCCAAATTTTTATCTACTAAAGAAAATAATAATCCATAACTCAACTCACTCAGCTTTATTTTCTTCTTCTTATCCCTCCTCTATGATTGGCTTATTATCTTAGTTTGCATTAAAGTTGTCAAGGTCATCAAGCATTTTACTTGTCAGACTAGATTAAACGTTTCCTGATATTCTAATGCTCTAATTCAATTGATTTTTCTGGCCACCTCCACCTCCTCTGATACTTTTTATGATCTTAGATTTGTGATTATGACTTCCAGGAATTAACAGATTTGAAGTTTATCTTGGACTAGGGCCTTCCATATTAAACTTTTCTAGCATTATGTCAAAGTTGTTCCTGTTATTATCAGCATTTTGTTCTGCCTCATCTTCACCAAATCTTTAGACTTATATTTCACCATTATTACGAGTAGCTTATGAGCTTTTATTCTTTGCATGAGACTAGACATAGCCAATTAATTTCTTCTACTGGTTAAATAACTCAGCTACCTATTATCTTGTTATTGACAGATTTTACTCAAGCTCTTTGATATATTCAACTTTCCTTTCAAGCTTTCTCATTTGCACACCTTTTTCTTTTGATAATATTTTATTTTGAGAAGCTATTTGATGGTACATTAGTGTCAATTACTCTAAATTTTTTTCATAGTTAATAAACTTGTTTTTAAAATCGATCTAATCTTTTGGTAAGCTTTCTTCAAGTCTATCTCTCAGCTCTTTGCTTTCTATTAGCTATTTCTCTAATTTTTCAATCTTCAATCTATTTTGCTTTATTTCTTAAACAATTATTGCCTTTTCTTATTCATAGTTAGATCTCTCTTTTTTAATGTGTTCTTGTAGCTTTTAATTCATTTCTTATTCTTTCTATAAACTTATCTAATTTTAATAGTCTACTAGCTAAGCTGCTTACTCTTTATTCATTACATGAGTCTATTACTTGAGTCTCTAATTTTCAAACTCCAAGCGCTGAATGTCTCTTACCTTAAGACTATTTTACTCTTCAAGAAACTCACATTTTAATTGCATCTAGGCAACTTATTCAACTAGCTTTTCATTATAAAGAGCCAATTTTTCATTTTATGATTTGATACCCTGATTGCTTTCCTTCAATTACTTAATGCTCTAGGCATTCTGCTGATATACCTTCTTCAAAACATTAATTCTTGTATTTAACTCATAGACATTGTATCTTTCTCTTTTCAAAGCTGAAACTAAGATGCTTAACTACTTTTAAGGAGACTTCTTGATTAATATCGGATTTAGTTCTTCATTATCCTAAACTAAAGCATCACTATTGGGTTCCGGTTATTTTGTCTCTGTAGAATTAGAACCAAATATTACCACATTACCATTCTCATCCAGCTCTAGGTCATCATCGTTATCTTCATATTCTTTCTATTACTTGATCTATTACTATTAATCAGATTTCTCTTTGTATGTATCTTATCTATACTACTCCAATTGCTACCTCTCTTTATATATCTATTATTATTGTTGCTATAATTTTTGCTTTAGCATCTCAATCTCTTCCCTGTCATTTTTCTCACTTTGGAATCTCTATGTCTATTACTCAATATCAAAGAGCTGATCAGCTTTTTTTTATTCTTCAATTTTCTATTACTTCTAGAGTTCTTTAAGCTTCCCTTCAAGCTCCTTAACCTCTTTTTCAGATTTACCTGGAATTTATCCACCTAAGGATTTAATGATTTTTTCTAGCAAAGTTATTCTTTTCTCTCTTTCTGCCAAATCTTTTTCAGCTCTATCAAGGAGTATTTTCAATTCTTATATAGACACCTCTTTGTTAATCTTTGGTTTATTTTTAATTTATTTCGCTCTCTTACCAAATCTCAAAGTACCAATTGTTTCAGATTCATTGAAAATTGATGGCGAGCAAGTAATGATCAAGCAGGTTTTTGAGTTACCACCAAGAGATTCTGACAAAATACGAGTGAGCTTTGAATCTCTATAAGGCACATGAGTGGATTTACCATCAGTAAGGCATTTAATGACAATACCTAGAGTGGTTAAGGATTTATTTATGGTCTTAGCCTCATCTAATGTCTGTCCTTTGGCGCCAGTTTTAGATATCTTTTCAGAACCAGCTAAATCTACCAAGAATAACTTTCCTGTTTTAGTTGAAAAATCAGCATTATTAGTTTAAGTGATAGTCATGATAAAAATAGAATGAGATCTGGAAGATTATTTATTCATATCAGTTACTCCTATAGCCCTATTTTCATTACCTACCTTCATTATGTCATATACTTCATCTTCATCACCAACGTAAGTTTCAGTCACATCTTAGATGTATATACCTTTGACTTTGTCTTCATGTACTTTGAGATTTGTTTTCATAGGATCTAGTAAATCTTTCACTCTTTCCATGTAAATTTCTATCATTGATACTTTAACAGTAAACTCAATATCCTCCGAAGCATTTTCAATTTTGCCAAAAACAGTCTTTACCATTCTTGGAATGATACCTTGAAGTTCTTTGTCTTCAATATCTGGCCCTTACATTGTAAATGTTTTTCCTGATGATGTTTAGCCGTATGCTAACACTGTTCCGTTAAAACCCTCTAAGACTCCCTCTATAATTGGAAGAACAGATTCATTGTAAATGTCAAGCTATCTCGCATTATAATCAAATACTCTGTCAAAATTATATCTGACTTAGCCGAATTAACCAGTGTCTGGATCTGTCCCCTATTAAAATTTATTAATACAAACCCAATTTAATTTCATTTCCTACCTGTACACAGCATGTGTTCCTGTCCTCAAATGTGACACATAACTTAGACCTGTAACAATAAATGCATTAATAATATTTTAATTCGTACCCTGACTCAGTTTTCTCTCTATCATTAAGAGGCCTAAATCTACAAACAATATTCATATTTTCTTTTAATAATTTTTTTCATAAATTGAAATTCTTTTAGCCTGATGGGGTTTTGGGGTTTTGGGGTTTTGGGG